TTTCCAGGCCAGTCTTCCCCTGCACAGCCTGTTCTAGCGGAGCAGAGGGGGGATCTAAGCCTGGCTATGGTGGCCTCTCCTCCTGGCTATGGAGTGCTCCCCCATCCCTGACCCCCATCTCTCTCTCTTTCTCTCTCTCTCTCTCTCACACACACATACACATCTCTGCTGCTACCTCTATTTCTCCCCAGAGCCCATCACACTGCCCAAGTGGTTTCTGGGACCAAGAGTTCCCCCACCCACCCCGGCTGGGGCCGCTGGTCCCAGCACCAGTGTGGGCATGGATTGCAGTGTGGCAGTTGCCCCTGCAGTCGCAGCTCCCACCAGCAGGTCCCATCCTGTCTGGCAGCTGGGCATATAGGGTGTGAGATTTGTGTGGGTGGGGGGGGCGGGAAGATGTGGGCGGGTGTGGGTGTATGTGTGTTTTGGAGGGTTTGTGGGGGGATTGGGAGGGTTTGTGGGTGGATGTACGGGTGAGTGTAAAGTTTATGGGGGAGAGGTGTGGGGCTTTTGCAGGGGTTTGTGGGTATGGGGTTTGTAGGTGGATTGTGGTGGGGTTTGTGGTTGTGGGGTTTGTGGTTGTGGGTTTTGTGGGGGGTTTGTGGTGCTGGTTTATGGGTATGGGGTTTATGGGTGGGGGGTTGTATGTATGGGAGGATTGTGTGGGGGTGGGGGGAACTGTGTTGGCTTGCAGGGACTATGTGGGAGGGTTGCGTCCCCTGCTCATCCTCTCTGCATGGTGCACAGCCTCACCCTGCAGCAGTAGCCAGCAGCAGGCCATCAGGGCACTTGTGGCTTGCTGCTGTTAGAGCCCCACAATGGCATGCAGGCTTTCACTGCCTGAGACCCAGGGGCTCCATGTAGCATGTGGAGCTAGCCTGGTCCGCTGGCTCCTGCTGCCACCTGGTGTTCCTGGCACTGCACACAGGAGCTCCGTGCCATTGGGCTGGACCAGGTCCTGCCTCCCGGTGTGCTGGACCAACTCCATGGAGGCAGGAACTGCCTTGGGTGTGCATGGCTCCTGCATGCAGTGCTGGGAGTCCCCTCCCCCTCCCCATTGCAGCAGCATGTGTAGACTGTAACTGGGGCTGGCTGGGGCATGAGGATGCTATATTGTGGAGGCTGCCTGCTGTCTAGCCCCACACTGTATCACTCTTGTGCTCCAGCCAGCTCCTTCACTGCCTGATGCCACCACCTAGAGCCCAGCACTGATTTCCCCACCCAACTCCCTGCCAGCCTGGTGCTACTCTGCCCTTGCTAAAATTGCTGCTGTCCTGGGCTCACGTGAAAATGCTGCACCTAGAAAGCAGCTGATATTGGTGCAAACTGCACTGTAGTTTATTCAGGCACCTTAATAACACATGTAGATGTGCCCAGTCTAGCTGAAAATCCCATCAAAGAGGATGAGTTACTCTTATTATCTGAGATGGTTGTCCCAAATATGAAGAAACAGACATTGCTAACATAGCTAAGGTTACACTTAAAAGAAACCATAATATTTTTTTGAAGAAACAAATTGTAGTCTACACAGTTTTTAGTTTTATTAGCTAATAGCAGTTAATATTTGGTTAGCAAAAAGAAAGGAAGAAAGAAATGAGCATCTCCTCTGTGCATGTTGCAAGGTGCTGATTCTCAACAGAGGATACATGAGAGCTGTCCAACTTCAGCATGGCTGGGGCTGTACCTGATCATGGGCACATTGTGCGGGCCACATGCTTGGGGGGGGCCACAGGTCACATGGGATCCCAGGACCACTATTACATGCAGCCCTCCTCCCCCACTGCACAATCAGAGCAAACCTCCCCTCCTTGCCCTGCTCCTCAACCCTCCTGCTACCACCACATTAGCAGTGTGAGCTATCACTTGAGCCTCTCTGCTGTTGCTGCCATGCAGGCAGCAAACCATCCCCTCACCACGTAGGGAACAACTTTACTGGGTTCCCTTTCACTGTACTGCCCTGTCCCAGGGACTCTGGCTTCCATCACAGCAGCAAGAGCAATGGGGGGAGTGGCAGCTTGGTGGGAGCTGGCTTTAATCCTTCCTGAATCAGATGTGGCCATTGGTCTGCCAGTTGGACAGCCCCGAATTATATGATCTTATTCATATTGTAACGATAGGATGTTGAATGTAACAATTTGTGATGTGAATTTCTTTTTGTAGAGAGCCAAGTTACATGTAGAAATGTTACTTCATCATATCTCACTATATGGATTTTTATACTATTTGATCAGAAAAAGACTCCAGTGTTCTTGCTTTGGCTGACTTATGAGTGCCAGCATAGCCACCCACACAGTTTGCTTGACCTGGGGACCTTAAGGAATGAATGCATGGAAATATATGTGAGGGTAATGTAGTACATAAAACAATATGCAGGCTGCTTCCTTGACCCTAAAGACTTGACCCAGGATGGCCTTCAGTGGACATACATGGGGATTCTAGTGTGGTAAATCCATGGCTTATAGAGCAGTTGGGGAGAGAGAGACACACACACAGTTATACGTTTAGTTTTCTCCTGCACTTTGCTTTTTCACACTAAAACATAATCTATGAATAGGAAAGATTTAATTTTACCCTTTAGATCATAAGGCAGATAATTGTGAATGATCTCAAAAGCCTGATTTTATTATAATAAGAGTAGCATTGGAATTAACTTAACACTCTGTCATTGTCATTTGTTTTTAGTTTTGTGATGCCTTTTGGGCAATACCTGAAAGTGGCTCATCAGGTAGGTCTTGAGGAATATTTGTAATAGTGAAGTGGATCATCAGTGGCTGCCATGGGTTGTATATTGCACAGACAGCAGAAGCTGTCTTTATCACCTTCAGGGATAAGTTTCAGAGAGAACTGGGTAGCAATAAAGTCATTATCATAACTAGGGGTGGGTAAGGGGGGCAACTGATAATCAGAAAACATGTTTTGTGGGCTCATGTCAAAGTTGTCCATGGGTGAGCAAGGGCAGGTCCAAGATTTAATGTAAAAGTAATACAACAATGGTACCATCAGTTATTTAATCCATAGTGATTTGAACACAGTACCTGAAATTAGAATCACTTATTTCACCAGAGCATCCAGAATAGTTTAACTACATTACCTAGTATAAGAGTCCAGAAGAATATATTTAACACAAGCATTTGGAGTAGCTTGCTTTCTTGCAAAAATATCAGGAAAGCAATGCTTTATGTATTTATATATTGTGACTGCTGCTTGACTTGAAGATTGAAGATTAGATGACTGCCTCACCTGCTTTTCAGCTGTACCTATATGATTATACACCCATTATTTTATACGCCAAGCTCAAGCATTTGAAAGCAAAGTAATGACAAGTGAAGTGCTTTAGCAATCTAATACTGCCTAAATGATGAAGAAATACTTTACTTTATTCTGGTATAAAGGAATATATAATTTGTCACAACTGAACAATATTAACTCTGGTTCATTATTCATTATTCTGATTTTAATTTTTGTAAGTCAATATTTTATTTTAAGGGATTTAAAAATCTATTCTTTTTTCACATTTTTGGGTGAAAAGTGATTTTTTTGGGATGGAAAGAGAGACAGAAAGAAAATGTAGACATTTGTAAAACTGAGCAAAGTAATTAAATTCACATTTCTTTAATCTTATTTAATGCAATAATTAAAAAAAAAATTGCCTATAAGGTTAAGAATCAGACAATATGAAAGCATGAATATCTTTGTGTTTTAGTTATAGGAGAATTTACAACCTTACAACTGAAATCTGATTCCACTAACTACTAAAATGGCTGTTAACTTTCCCCAATAAACCATGTATACCTAGCACCCTTGTTGTACAGTTCCTAAAATAAAAGACTTCAGCTGGTTGATTAAGAGGCAGGTAGCTGTGATTTTAAAAGGGATCCTATGTTCTTTCTAACACAGAGTTAGCCAGGTGAAGGGAAAATGTTCAGACATTTATATAATGCCTCACTCTGCTTCTACTGAAGTAAATGATAAAAATACTTCATTGATAGCAGTAGAGCAGGACTAGTGCATAACTCCATTTGAAATAAATGGGGAAGTAGTTGGTCTCAAGCATTTGAAAGATATTTTTGATTTGGCTATATTTCTCTAATATAACTAGGCCACAAATTTCCAAATAAATTAATTAAATGGAAATTTGTAGTAAAAACTCAACTAAAAAACTATATTTTCTAGAAGGAGACAAAGGCTCTCTTTCAATGGCTTCTGCAGCAAGTCTGGGTCTGCTGCTCAAAAATCATAGACATCTTTGCTTGTGTTTGAGCCTGCAAATTATGCAGCATATATGGCACAGGAGCAGGTCTGAGGGCTCAGAACAGCCCTTAGCATGTGCTGTAGCACACCACTCAAGTGTTCCAGACAAGCAGAGCTTGGGAACATTTGCTTAGGGTTGCCATGAGCTATGTGCAATGAAGCCCATTAGTGGGCTTGGCTGCACATAGTTGTTGTGATTGGGTGGGCTTGTTTCTTAGAGACAGCTTCCTCTGAAGGCCTTATAGACACAGCCAAAGACACTTTTGGCAGAAGTCAAAATTTCAAATAAAAAATAGGTGGATGAATTCTTTTCAAGCTTTGCAGGAGCACTCTTCTCTGTTTTCACAGTGAAGTAGCAATTTGCAGGCCAATTTCATTTTCTTTCCAAGTCAAAAGTATAGATCTGCAATCTTAACTATGAAGAGTCTAATGTTTTAATCTTATAATCATACTTTATACTTATTTAGTGCTTTTTCTTCACAGATCTCAAAATGCTTTATAGAGCACTGTTGTTTCCATTTTAAAAAGAAAATAGCCATACTGTGGTTCATAACTACACTACAAAAATTTGATGGTGAGAATTAGGAGTCAGGTTATAGTCCATCCACAAGACTACAAATTAAGTTAGTATGTGGTAGAGTATGAGCCCATCACCATTTATTCATTTTTTTCTAAAGAATAAAAGCAAAAGTAGCAATGGCATGGTTAGTAGCAGAGTGACAAATAACTGTAATGGTTTGTCTTCACAGGCTTGCAAGACAATCCTTGGGTGTGTGATTGCAGTTTGTATGAAATGGTCCATTTCATAAATTTCCAGTCTCCTAACATAGCATTTATAGAACCAAAACTGAAGTGCTTCACCCCCCGGAGTCTTGCTGGAATTTTCTTCAGTCAAGTTGAACTAAGAAAATGTCAAAGTCCTGTTGTACATACATCTGTGGCCAAAGTAAAGACCATATTGGGCAGCACTGTGCTTCTGCGATGTGGTACTACTGGAGTACCCATCCCTGAACTCAGCTGGAGAAGAGCTGATGGTAATCGGCTTAATGGCACAGGTGAGTTTGGCTTTATACTGCATCATGTGACTAGAGTCTAGGCTTGTATTTTCTGTGGTTTCTGAAGCAAATGTCAGTTACTCACCCTTCCAAATAAGTAAAAATACTGTTTACATCTTTGCTGAATAAGGAAACAGGACAAAAGGAAACCAGAGTTAACATTGTACCTCTCCACAGTATTGATCTAATTTTGAATGAATACCCACACATCAGTGGATATAAGGATGTTAATAAAGGTATCATGAAATAGGTTACATTTTCTCTGTTCCCTAATAATTATATTGTAGCAATAATTTTCTTTCCCATCTCTGAAGGTATTTCTTTGTGGTTGCACATCTGTCTATCATACAAGAATGAAAAATATGCAGCTGAAACAACGGGCATTTAAAAATTATTTTTAATGATATATTTAAGAGTCTTTCCGTCTTATGGGATGCCAGAGGTCCCTAATGGTGCTTTTGCACTTTTGACTTAGCATTTAAATGTTTAGTTAATCTTTCTATCAAGGATTTGTTTGATATAAATTCAACCAGGATCAAATTTGCAGATGGAAGGTAAAATGTGGTAGAAATAACCTTAGTATACTAATGGAACTAATATTAAGCCCACACAAAAGTCAGTAAAAAGATAATGAAAACATCATCTATATTTCAGGTTACAAACTTGGTCCTAAGATAATCTCATAAAGTTTTGCCCTCAAATTTAAATTGTCTTTGAATTCAGGGTGGGCAAAAACTAGTTTTTTAATATTATAGGAAAATATGCAATTTTGCAGTTTTTTCAATTCCAAAATTGAATGAAAAGAGCAACATTTTGAAATTTTCTGAAAAATAAGAAGATAAGAGCTGCCATTTACTGGGTTAGACCATATTTCTATCATATCTAATATCCGAAAGAGTGGATGCTGAAAAGGAGAGTGAACAGGGCATTTTGAAAATACAAATTAAAAACAAAGTTCCTGGACAACTGAAAAGTTTCTAGGTAAAGTTGAATATATTTTTTCCAATTTAAAATGATCTATTCATATTATGTAATATAAAATTGAGAAAATTTGGGTAAATAGTCATTTCAAAATAGAAATGTTCCACTCTGAAACACTAGAAATCTTTTGCTGTATCCCTGGCTAAACAGCTTTATTTCTCCAATTTAATTGAATCATATACCAGCAATTCCAGCCACCTTTTTGCTACCCTTGGCTGCTGGAAGATGCTAATATAGTTACGCTATTATGTCCTGACAAATTTTATCCCAGATCCCAAATTGCATGTCCAGCCCTGCACTGCATAGGGCTGCAAAGCAAGGCTTTTAAAAGTGCCAGGGCATAGCAACACTGCAAAAGTGCTGACCCATGGGGAGCCCATTGGATCCCTTTGCCTGGGCACCTTTAATAACCCTGATGTAAAGCCCATAATGGTGGACTTTTTAGTGCAGGTTTGAAGGTCCTGACATGTGATGGGATCTGGCAAATTTTATCCTACATCCCATGTCTGGCACGTCAGGATGCACAGTTCTTAGGATCCAGCATAACATTCATCAGGTACCTATCATGAGACTAAATTGATGTCTGCCAACAGCCTAATCTGACTTCCTTCTCCCTCATTTACACGCCTTCACATTTTTTCTATGCCAGATCTCACCAATTCCTTCTAAGAAAAAAATGACAGCATTCAATATAACACTTTATTTTTGTATGCCTTCCTTTGCTTTTCTTTTGTCTTGCCACAGATATAGATGTTTCTTGTGGGCTTTCCTGTTGTAACTGTGCAGGCCCTCTCCCGATCCCACCTGAGTTCTCTCCCGATCCCATCCTCGTTGCCATGTGCGAGCCGGGGGCGAGCCGGGCCTGTCTTTGTGCACGCGGGCTGTGGCCAGAAGCCCGGGCACGCGGGGTCAGAGAGGACCGGTGGCGAGCTAGAATTAGTCACGGACGCTTAATGGTTGATTTAAAGATTGTTTACTTACACCAAAGATGGTCATGGTGTAGGCTGGACAGTTTCCAGGTTCAGCTCCACTTAAATCGTCAGTAGAGGACTACAACAATTCGTTCTTTGCCCCGGAGTTATTGAAGCTCCGCGGGTTCGGTAGTTTCTTTGCCCCGGAGTTATTGAAACTCCGCGGGTTCAGTAGTTTCTCGTACAGGAAGGGATACGTCTAGGAATTTATCGGCGATGGGGAGAGGCTAGAGGCTGTTTGTTCTTTTCCCCGGAGTTGTTGAAGCTCCGCGGGTTCGGTTATCAGGCCTCTATTGCCTTTTAAGAAAAGCGTTGGGTCCGTAAGGATCCGCAGCGCTTAGAGATCTTCACGCTCTCCCTCTCGAACTCCAATTGCTCTCTCTCCAACTTGGGCGGAAACCACCCAAGCTCTTTATATGGCTAGCAAGCCAATCGCTAGCCGCCACGTGTGCATGTATTAGAATCGGCCAATAATGTGGCACGAATCTTCATACAAATGGTGGGAACTCCTTTGCACCGTGCATTTCTTGGATGCAAAAGAAATGCACCATGCAAAGAAAGCTACAAATTTGGAGGGAATACTCCGTTGCACCGGGGTTCTCCTCTGCAGCAGAAAACTCCACCGTGCAAAGAAGCTGCAATTTAGCGGGAAAATAATTTAGCAGTGCCGAAGCACACACAAACAAAAAATCACAACTTTGGGTTGTGACAGTAACCTCATCACTTGTTTCAGAGTTTCCATCCTAACCTATCTCCTCATCTTCCTCATGTCCACTCTCATTCTTATTCTCAGTTGCTTTCCTGAACTTCTCACTTCCCTTTGGGTTTCTCCACTAATTCATTGAATGCTTTATCTGTAAGCACTGTCTGGTGTCCCTCTTGTCCTACTCTATCTTAGACTGTCTCCAATCCAGGTATGCCCCTTGCTCTCAGTTGCAACAATTCCTGCCAAAATTATTAATGAGCATTTCCTAGTCAAATCTTGGAACCAGTAATCTAGCCTTATCCTCTTTGACTTGACATCATCTTCAGTTCAGTAAACCTTGCCTTCCTTAAATCAGTGATTTTTGACCTGGGTGAGAGGGCTCCCAGGGGTACTGTGCGATACTTCTAAGGGTGTTGCACAATATTAGCACTGTTGCACATAATTTATGAGGTAAACCCAGAGCTTTCAAATAGTGTCAAGAACATTTTGGTCTTTCTGAGTTCTTTGCAGTAGAAGAATTAGCTCTGTTATTTTTTCATTGTCAAAAAACAAGCAAAAACTAAGAGCTGGCATTTTCTGAGAGGTGCCTTGAGTCTAATAAGGGGTGCCCTGAGTCTAAACAGGATGAGAACCATGGTCTTAAAATCTTTTTTTCCATAGGCTTCTATAACACTCTTCTCTCTAGCTCAGTTCCTCTCTCTCTCTACTTGTTCCTTCTACTTTTCCTTCATTCAGAAGCTCCTCCTCATCCATCTGACAAAATCCATTCTTCTACACTTGTATCCATTTATCAAGCTTCTGCAAAGATCATTTTTGTAGTCCATCTCTTTTTACTCAAACCTTTTTCTTTCTTGCATGAAATGCTGTATTAGGCCTTAATAGTCTACTACAGGGGGGGGCAATTATTGTGAGTGTAGGGCTGCTTACCGACTTTTGGCAAGCTGTTGAGGCCTGCATTGGTAGCCCTGCCCTTTGACAGATGCCTTGTCCCTGGTCATCATCTTGTCACCAGAAGTCCTGCCCCCTAACCCCTGACCTTAGCCACCAGAAGTCCCTCCCCTTGCCCCCTGTAGTACTCCTTTCAGCAAGGGTTTTGCTATTTCAGAACTGGAAAAATACCAAATTATATTCTAAAAAGCGAACTTCTACAGCATTCATTAATTTGGTTAAAAAAAAAGTCTTGGTTTACATGTGTTTGTGTACTGTACATAGAGATGATTGCATGATAGCTTAAAATGAAGTCTTACTCTTGTATATTGTGGGGGGTGTGTTTAGGTTTGTGGGGGGGCTGTAGGTATGTGGGTATGTGGGGTGAGAGAGTATGTGGGTGCATGTGTGTGGATATGCGGGGTGTAGGTGGGTATGGGGTTTGTGGGAGGAATGTGTGCCTGGGGCGTATGAGGGGATGTGATGGGTCTGCGTGTATGGCAGTGCAAGGGGAACGTGGGTGCATGTGTATGCTTGGGTGCATGTGTGGGACTCAGCCTATGAACACATACACATGCTCTGCCCCTGCCTACACACACACACACCCTGTCCCTGCCTGCTCCCTACACTGTCCCTGCCTGCCCGCCTCACTGTCCCTGCCTGCCCACACACACAAACACACACACACAGAGTCCCTGCCTGCCCCCACACATTGTCCCTGCCTCACACACACACACACACACACATATGAGTCCCTGCCTGCACACACACACATACACACACACACACATGCACACACTGTCCCTGCCTATACATGTACACACGCACACACACACAAGTCCCTGCCTATACATACACACTGTCCCTGCCTGCTCTCCCCAACACTGTCTCTGTCTGCCCCCTTACACCATCCCTGCCTGTATGTACACACACACACACACACACACACACACACACACACACTCCCTACCTGCCCCCCCACTGTCCCTGCCTGTACACACACACACACACACACACACACACACACACACACATACAGGTGTAGCCCCATGCTCCTTGGTCTGGTGATATAGCCATGTGGTGCTGGAGCAAGGCAGGGGCAGGAAGAGAATGAAATGGTTGGGGGTGGGTGGGGCTAGGCTGTTCAGCCCTGCTGAGGCTCCCCCTGGGCCCTATTGCACCTGGCTTTTGTCAGCTTTGACAGGCAGCCAGGGGCAGATAAATATTAGTTTTCTAAATTTTGTAGGGATACCGCGGACCGAATAGAACAGCCTGGTGGGCCGGATGCAGCCCCCAGGCTGTATTTTGCCTGCCTCTGGTTTACTACCTCCTCATCTATCATTTCTCATTCAGTACCAGGATGTTGATTTCCACTTCCAGCTGGCTCTTGATAACAGCCATAATAAATCACATGT